GTGTTGGCCGGTCTGAGGTGGACCCCCAACTACAGTTTGTAGTGAATACTGAATTGGTCGGACTGAGTAACCTCCGGAACCCTGTCCTCTAGAGTAAGAACCATTAATCTCACCTCTCTTTCGAAACCTTTTTGATGTCGACGCCACGGTGAAGTCATCAAGCTTTACTCCTTCCACCTCTATCACGAAGTCTACCACTTCTTGAAAGGAATTTGCCGTAGCCGCTACCTGTAAGGCTGAAAGCCGCAATTCTAACCTCAACCCCTTCACAAAACGGTGAATCCGCTCTTGTGGACTGAAACAAAGCTGGGTGGCATATCTGGATAGCGCACAAAACCTAGCCTCATAAGCAGTAACCGACATCCTACCTTGCTCTAGGCTCAAGAACTCATCTCTTTTCCTATTGCTCAAGGTCCGGGGGATATACTTCTCCATAAACAAGCTAGAGAATGAGGTCCAAGTCATAGGTGGTGCCGCTGTTGGTTGACACTCAACATGTGACCGCCACCACATTTTGGCGTTCCCTTGAAACTGATAAGTCACAAACTCAACACTAAACCGTTCTACTATACCCATCTTGTGTAGTAGCTCATGACAGTCAACCAGAAAATCGTAGGCATCCTCTGATTCAGCACCCTTGAAGACTGGAGGTTTCAATTTCAAGAATTTACTGAAAATTTCATGCTGATCATTTGTCATTATAGGCCCGGTAGTCAGACGAGGAAACGTGCCTATTTCCAATGAGGCATCCATACGGGGAGCCCCAACAGCGGCATGTCGTACCTCTGAAACTGGAGGTGTTGGTGCAGAAAACATTGGAGGTGACTGACCCTGATCAGATAACCCGCTAAGATAAGCAAGAACCTTATTGATCATCTCAGGGGTAGGTTGGGGTGGCAATTCCTCATTTTGCACTTGTTCATTCTCCCCTTCCTCACCCTCTCTTACTACTTCCTCAGTCGGTGGAGGAGTCACCGCCCTAGCATCAGATGGGCTAGGTACTTGTCCTCTTCCTCAATAGGACTTCCTCCCACGGCCTCTACCACGGCCTCTCGCCACTACTCCTCTTCGAGCTACAGCCCCAGTGGCTGGCTCCGACGTTTCTTGTCTTGTCGTTGTTTTTGTTTGTGCAGTCGTTGCTCTAGTTCTAACCATCTGCAAAAAAAAGTGAAGATGGTCAAATACCAATTTGTATCACCTTGATACCAATTGGATCCAAGCAATAGCACGAAAGATAGAAAGAAAGAATGGAATTTTCCTAAAGTCTTATAGCCTCTCAAAGAAAAGTAAAGGCATCCCCCTACCGTTCCTTAAGACCCTACTAGACTCGTTCTTGTGTGATGAGACCAATGAACCTAATGCTCTGATACAAAGTTTATCACGACCCAAAACCGAGCCGCGACTGGCACCCACACTTACCCTCCTATGTGAGCAAACCAACCAATCTAAACTCTAACATTTCAGTATAATAATGACAAAAAGTAATGCGGAAGACTTAAACCCATTAATAAAAACCAATTCAATAACTTCTAAATTCAACATTTATTATCCCCCAAAATCTAGAAGTCATTACCACAAGAACATCTATGATCAAATTACTAAACTAAGAGTACTCTAAGAAGCTAAAATAAGTAAAAGCTAGTCCATGCCAGAACATCAAGGAATCAAGACATGAGGAAGGAGATCCAGTCCAAGCTAGAAGCATTAGCTGACCCTAAAGATCCGGTGTGACGAAGACTGGCTACAATTGCGGTTGAGTTGACGACGACGGCACGTTTGCTGCACTCCACAAATAACAAAGAAGAAAACATAAAGGTAGGGGGTCAGTACAAACACAAGTACTGAGTAGGTATCATCGGCCAACTCAAAATAGAAAACAGTATGTATCAAGTAATATCATAAATCAACTACAATACTAAACATGTAGCAACAACAAGTACTATAATCATTAATAAGTACCGCCAAGTTCACACATGAGGACTCACGCCTCAGTTTCATACTCATTTGGGAGTTAGGTTCATTAGATTGAGTATATTAACATATTTAAAGATTCATTATCTTTATTCCCCTCGTGTCGGTACGTGACACTCCGCTCCATATACTATCCTGGTGTCGGATCGTGACACTCCAATCATCATATACTATCCTGGTACAGGAACGTGGCACCCGATCCATATACTATCCTGGTGTCGGAATGTGACACTTCGATCCTCGTTTTATCCTGGTACCGGAACGTGGCACCCGATCCATATACTATCCTGGTGTCGGAACGTGACACTCCGATCCTCATTCTATCCTGGTACCAGAACGTGGCACCTGATCCTCTATTTCTATCCTGGTACCGGAACATGGCACCCGATCCCCTAATCTCACTTCTTTCGTTCATTAAGCCTTCTTTTATACCAAGGCATCATCATTAACAAAGTAGATTAGGGTTATCTTTCATGATTTGGGATTTATAGCTTCATCATGCTTATATATTCACAATTACATAATCATATTCATGCAAGCATACAATTAAGCATATAGAAGAATTTACAATACTACCAATACATATCATTCGCTAATAAGAGTTTACTACGAATAGCATAAAAACCATATCCTACCTCCACCAATGATTAGTGATCAAGCAAGAAAATTCCCCAAATCTTTGTTTCCTCTTCGTTTCTCTTTCTCGTTCGATTCTCCCTCTCTCTCTTTGTTCTTTTTATTGTTCTTATTCAAACCCTCTTTCTTTTAACCTAATTAGCATATAATTAAGTATAAAATATGACAATAATAACCAACTAATTAACTCAAGGTTACCTGTTTTAACCCCCAAGTAATTAGACTTATTAATATTAACCCACTAACTTTATAATTAAAGCAGGAATAGTCAAAAACGTCCCTTAAAACATTTAAAGAAATCCGACCCAGCCTGGGATTACGCAGTCTGTGACGGCCCGTCGTGCCTGCGACGGTCCGTCCTACTGCTCCGTCACAGAGTTCAGAGACTCAGTTCTATTAAAGGGTCTGTGACGGTCCGTCGTGCCCATGACGGTCCGTCCTGCCATGTCATCACGAAGTTCAGTGAGTCGATTTCAGTAATCAATTTCAGAATTTCTAAGTGTTTTGAAACGAGACCCTGCGACGGTCCGTCGTGGCCATGACGGTCCGTTTTGGGGTTCGTCGTCTCAGCCAGTTTTCCAGAAATAAAATCTGCTGCTCAAAACGACTAAAAAAGGTCGCTACCTTTAACTTTATATCTACATAGATACAACTGACCTAAAACAAAAAATTAATTAATCATTAAATCGAAGCTATATAATTCAAATAAACTTCGAGAAATATTTCATGTACAACCAAAACATAGAAAGTGATTATTTAAAGATCTCTTATATCAACAAATTTAAAAAAACCAAAAGTATCATTCAAACGTATATGACAATAGTAAAAAATAATTTTCTTCTTTCACCATAATTGATCAACTTTACTTCTGGCCATATTAAAATTCAATTACTGGCATTTTTCAGCACATTCAAAATAAAAATATACGTTTGTGACATAATTATGGAAATGCATAATTGGAGTGTTTTCACTGTAAGACAACCAATCCATATCTAAATACAATTTTTGTGTTAAAATTGCACATTATAAGGACTACAACATTTGTGCAGTCTTCTGTTGTTGGCTCTCCAAAATTAAACTTCAAAAGTGTAAACAGAGATTAGAGGTTTGTCATAGAAAAAGTGAGATAATTGTTGAGATATGAATTCTTGAATTGCATATAGAAAGAAGTATATAATATGAAGAATATTTTTTCTAATCCTCTACTTACTCTTTCAAACTTCAGCGATAGTAAGTCTTGAATGGATTGTAGTAACTTAAGAAGCAACAAAACCACTTAGTAATTCTGCACTTGCTACTTCTAATAATTCTGCACTAACAAGTCTTGAATGGTACATGTCTTACTTCTAATAATTCTGCACTAACAAGTCTTGAATGTTGTAGGATAATTTTCTATATTTGCTTGATCACCAAATAGGACAGACTCATCACACAGGTAAGACTACTAATTCTTCACTTGCTATTTCTAATAATTTTATTTATTTTTGTATGCAGGATCAACAAAAATATCAATAAATAAGGATACAATGGAGAAACAAATTAATAATAAGTCCAGCACTAACCACATATTGGGCCTGAGAACACTCACAGGAACACACAACTAGTTGAAATGAACGATAGATGAACACTGGAAACAAGGTTCATAACATAGTTTAGAATGACCACAAAAATCAATATCATCAGACTGCGTCTCTAGTACGTACATGGAAGTGCCAAAATATTCTAAAGGTTCCGTTGATGCAGGTACTCCATTCCCTAAGCCCCTAGATAATATTGTTGTTAAGAAAGTTGCTGATATGGCTGTAAAGTGCAGGACACTACTAATTTGCAGGAAAAGAAATCTACATAGAGGGATGATATGACTCTTGTTTTGCAGGAGGTTATGAATATCTCTTTTCACTATACTGAAGCCCATGTCACTCTTATTTCAAGTTAAAAAAATACAGGGCAACAAGAGGTCATTGATACAGGTCAACAGAAAGTTAGGTTTAATAATAAATAAGGAGGAAGGTTTAGTAAAAAGAGAAGGAATACTATAAAAAGACATAAAGAAAATCTTGAACAAGGTAAAGATTTAACAGATAGTGAAAAAAAAATTGAGGATCAGGCTGCAAGAAAATCCCCAGCCAATTTTCCTCTCCAATTTTCTCTTCCTTGCCTCTAGTTGAACATAGGCACAACCTCCTCGCGGAGAAAGAAATCAACTTTCTCTATGATCTTGTATCGCAAAAATCCCCCTGCAATATTCTTGTTTTCAGACCTGAAACACAATACTCTTCTCAAATTTTAACAATCAATAGGGGTGGATTCACTGTCTTTCTTGAGGACAACCCCGCGAACATCAAACTTTATAACTCACGAGTAATGTTGATAGTAATCGAATTCACAGAGTCATGTATCAAACAGTTGCTAGAGATGCATATAACATTTTAAAACATGCTAGAGAAAACCAGAAAGACTGCTACATTTCAGCAATTGCAAGGCCTAGTAGTTCAAAACATGATGTGCATAGTAGTTCATCAAGAAAGTGCAAATTTATGTCACTTGCTACAAATGTTCCTAAGGAAGTGTATGAAGTGAAGTGGGATTTGGTGATTGCTGATGGACCAGAAGGTGATAAACCGAAATCACCAGGAAGAATGGCTGCAATTTACATTGTTGATGTAGTAGCAAGAAGAAGAAAGAAGAATAATGGGACTCATGTATTGGTACATGATGTTGATAGAATGATTGAGAAGTGCTTTTCTTGGGAATTCTTATGTGACACTAATTTGATTTCTTCTAAAGGGAAATTCTGGGATTTTAACATACTAGCAAAACCAAATAGAACTACATTTTGTCGTGCATAATTGAACATATATTTGTCTGCTATTGTAGAAAAATTCTTTTGTTTGATGTTAGATCTAGGCACACAGCTTATGTTTATTTCATTAATATAATCTTCCCTTAATTATCTTCAGAACAGATCTTAATTATCTCTTTGTAAGTTAGCTCCGTTCTATACATGCTTTAGCTTCAAGGATGCCTCCATTCATTAATATTTTCAATCATAAGGTTGATCATTCTTAAGAGTGTTTATGGAATATCAATTTACAATAATGCATAGCTCAATTATTATCTAAATAACTAATGATATGGTGACCATCATTATGCCATTGACTGTATAGAGGAGATGGATATCGTATCCAACATATATCGTGACAGAGCAGAAACATTCACATAATTTAATAAAGGAAATGGATAATATCAATTGTTGTTTTTATCACTTATTTTAATTGTATATTCTTTTACATACTTGGTGAGTTACTTCATGTCCTAAAAGTGAGAGATGCTAATTTTAATACCTTATCTCTACTATGTGTCCTCTGAAATAAAGACATTCAACAAGTTATATATTCATTTTTAGATAAAAAGACATGGAGAATAAACTGACCTCAATATACCAAAGTGAGATGATTATCTCATTCGCACATGCAACACTTGTCAAGTGATCTTTAACTATGTTTGTTTCAATCAATTCATCTGATCCATGGAAGTGGAACAAATCGTACATAAGATCAGAGTGGATCTACCTTCAAACCATAAAATAGATATCCAATAAGTACTAGGTAAGTAACATAGCGTGAATCATATAATTAGAGCTTTTGAATTCACTATTCAACAAGAAAATCATGAGGAAGTACAAGAAGTTACAAATACGCAAGGACTCTCACAGAGGGGTAGAAAGACTATTAGACAAAGGAATAGAATATCAACCACCAGCATGTATGCTAGTTCTACTACACTCAACACTAGGTCAAAATGTAAAGGTCCTTAATGATGTTTTTAATTTTTCAGCACTAGTTTGTTAAATAAGAAGGAGCTTTCACTGATCCGACAATGACTCTTTCATAAAGGCTAAAGAACAGCCCCAAATTTCTCATTTTTAAATAAGTCCTTGGCTGGAAGAGTTAAAACATGTGAAGGAGCAGAAGTGTAAGCTTTATGTATGTATGACAAATTCATATTAAAGAGGAACAAAACAACTGGAGATAGTAGAATATGCATTTTCTTGAAAGATGAGTTTTAGTTTACCTTTTCAAACAAAGTAGGCTTAGCTTGTGAAATTCAAACTATAGTTTTAGAGATATGTTAATATTATTTACACAACCTTTTCTTTTCCACATAGATATAATAGCATCTTAGCAGCTAAAATCTCTCATTAAGGAAAATCAAGAAGTGTAAGCTCTATGTATGTATGACAAATTCATATTAAAGAGGAACAAAACAACAGGAGATAGCAGAATATGCATTTTCTTGAAAGATGAGTTTTAGTTTACTTTTTCAAACAAAGTAGGCTTAGCTTGTGAAATTCAAACTATAGTTTTAGAGATATGTTAACATTATTTACACAACCTTTTCTTTTCCACATAGATATAATAGCGTCTTAGCAGCTAAAATCTCTCATTAAGGAAAATCAACAGAATATATTAGTGAGATGCTTTTTCCTTCTATCAATGAGGTAAAAAATATGAGTTATTAGGACACCAAAATTTTGAATAGTAATGTCACTACGAACGTATATCGCTAATGTTATGTTTTAAATAGCAAGTGATGTTGCTACAACTCTTCAAAAATATTTTTGAGTGCGTGTCAAATTCTCCAAAAGTAGTGTATTTGTGGAGGATCTGAAATAAGTGTGACAACATATTTGGAGAGTCCGATAAACATAGATAAAAATGAAGAGGCTCTCTATGATTAGGAATGACAAGAAGAGAACAACACTGTTTCCTGATATTGATTCTTATATGTTAAAACTACTTCTTTATTTAGTTTCATCACTAAGTTGAATAGACTCTAGCCTTACTGATATGGTCACAAGTTTCAAACTTGGAAGAGTACAAATTACAAAATGTTTATTCTTAATAATTTCAAAAGAATAAATGTATTTTAAGCTATTCAGTAGGTTTATTCGTTTTCACTACTAACTGGAATATCCACACTTTGACATGGACAAAAGGGAAACACATCCGATCAACTGATGTCATAGAGAAAAAGTGTGGGTGGATACCACCATAGGTCTCCTCCCCTGAAGCTCAAAAGAAAGCCACTTTGTGGAGCATGACAGAACCATTGAAGTTGGTAGGAAGGAGAAACATAAATTCAGTGAGGAAATTGTTGATAATGAAGTTTTTAACATCATCAAGAGGACAAACGTAGAAACAAACTTTAGCATCATCCATAGACTGTCTTAAAGCACTTGATCATAGACTGTCTTTACAGTTCTATTTACTTCCATTCAATATGCAAGAACTTTACATGCAATAAAATTAGAAAGTTGCAAGCTATTTTTCATCTGTTGCATCTATCTTATCAAATAGGACAGACTTTAGCATCGTACAAAACTTTCTCTCCATTTTGTTTACATTGACTTCTCCTAATTCTTCTAAACATAGATGAAACAAGCCTCACATTCAACAATATCCAAAACTCATTAGGTTGTCCATACTACAAAAAAAAATATTCTACTTCTATTATGTTATTGCTAGTAATAGTTAGAATAAACGAAAGAAAGCACAATCCTCAAGTTGAAAGTAGAAAAAGAAATAAAACAATTAAAGACGTAGAAACAATTGCTTTACTAAGGATTTAAGTTGTACACATTAACAATTAAAGCATTTTACGCTATCACTGTAGTTTTACAAGTTATAGAAGGTAATAAAATGTATTTTTGAGATGATCCCTCTCCATACCTTCTAGAATTGAAAAATATATCCTATATCTCTTATCATTAAGGCATATGATTCGTTTTCTATATAGTGCAACTCAAACTACAAAGAAAGTTTAGCAAATTCATACTACAAGGTGATCCCGAAACAACTAAGCAATATTGAACTAAAGTTTCTGACGTATACTTGAAAATGCACTAGAGAAACAACAAAATGGCTTCTAGAGACTTCAAGACATTTTTTCAAAAGAAGAAAAGTTTTACCAGCAAATAGCTACAAGACAGAAGCAATGTGGTTAACAAAGGAACACAAGCTTCAGGCGAGCACAACCATGAACTCAGGAAGAATAAAAAAAACAGTGACATTAAAACAGACATTAAAACCTTTTAAAATTCATGTAGAGTAACTTTTTACATTTGACGAAATCCATATTAGGGACAAAATATCGTAGGTATAGCCAGCTTCGAAACTTCAGTTCTTCGAAAAAATACGACTTAGCTACAACTCAACTTCTGAGATAAAGGCGACTTAGCTTATCTTCTACATTCAACATTCAACATTCAAGAGAAAAAACTAGTCTGTCAAAGATAATCTGCCCATTTATAAGTAATACAACTAAAAACTAAACTCCCAAAATCAACAAAATTCGTATCAACAATACAAGAACATAAAAACCATAACTTAAATTTTTGACTGACAAACAAGAATATCAAAATCTTAAAGCTATAATTTAGACTTTTGAAGATAAAATCTCTTACGTGATAAATTCTATTCCAACAACCCTAAATCTTTAAGACATGAGGCAAGTTAATTTGTGACGCATTTTCTTTCAACTTTCAAAAGGAAATCTGATAGAACAACTGTTTACCCAGGAATTTTGAAGAAAATCGTCTTCTTCAACTCTCCAATCTTTAACAATGAAGCTCTAAGAGGGAAATCGTCTTCTTCAGTTCATCTTAAGAGAAATCGCAGTGCTCTTCGATTTGTCTGTGGAAAATGATGTTCTTAAGCTGAAGTTTGAATGAAATGTGACAAAAATCGTAGTACAAATCAATTTCTTCCGTTCTTTGATCCTCTTCTTCAGTTCTTTCAAATGGTGTTCTTCAGCTAAAAATGGTGTTCTTCAGCTGAAAATAGAAGCTTCTGCTGAAGTTTTAGGAAATGTTGCCTTTTATGTATCTTTAATGTTTTATTCTTTTTAATATTTCTTTAATTTTTCATTTTTTTGGCCAAATAAAAAAGGTAATGGAGATCAAATTTTAATGTTAAAATGTTGACCCACATTTTAATGTGTTGTATTTACAACCATAAAAATAACACACTTTAAAAGTGTGTCCATTTATGTAAATAGTTGTTGCCAACTACAACAACACTTATAAAGTGTAGTTTATCTCATTAAAGAGTACATTTTAAAAGTTATGCTAATATTAGTGTAGCTAAAAGTCAAAATCTTTCGCTATAATTTAAAAGCATTCTTAAAAGTATTTTAGGCAACACTTTATAAGCGTTGTCCAGATTTAGTGTTGTCGTAGACCTAATATGGTGTACTGATAGTCCAATTAAGATTAGTAATTTATACATAATCAAGTCTAGCTGTAAAGTAAGTAGACAAGAAATTTCATACAACCAAAAACATAGGTTAGAAGTCATCTCAAATCACTAAGTCGATATAATTACACGTCACCATTGTCTTTTCAACATATTGTTATCTTTTAGTTTTGATGATTTTAAAAACAAAGGTATCATATAAGGGAACCTAATTCGAATGGTATTTATATGCGAGAAAGGGACAACTGGAAAAAGTACACAACCTTTAGGTTCTAGGTCTGCAGGAGTTGGTGCATGACTCCTGAACGATGTGGCAAGAGTAATATATAGTCTCAATGTCTGAAAGAGAGACATAAAAAAATGAGGAAGATTTCTGGCCATTCAGGGGAAGGTAGCTCACTTTCTAATCAGAAAGTGTAAATCTCACGTCTAGGATTAGAGAAATCATGGATTGTATTCATGATTAAAATTGTTAAGTACA